TGTTTGTTTGTTTGTTTGTTTGTTTGTTTGTTTCAGGGGGGTGTTGTTGTTGTGTGTGGGGGTTGGGGTGGAGGGTGTTGTTGTCGTTGTATATGGGGGCGGTGTTGTGTGAGTGAGGGGGGATGGGGGGTCATGTGTTGTTGGTTGTTGTTGGGTTTTTTTTGGGGGGGAGGTGTCTTTTGGCTCGCGGTTCACACTGGTATGTCCCATCAGACGCGAGAGTTGGCGCCCCGTCGGGGAATACGGTCTTACTTCCTGTTACGATCTAGGTCGCGAGCGACATTAATAGATGGGTGCTACAAGGTGTCCGGTTGCAGTCAGTGAGCTGGGAAAATATTGATACTCTTGGTTGTTGTTGTTTGTCTTTGTTGGGGGGGTTTTTTGGTTTGTTTTGTTTGGGATTTTTTTGTTTGTGAAAAAGTTAGTATGTACAATCATTTGATAGGTCCATTGTGAAGGTCCAGGGTTCAGTTCTTGAAGGAAAACCTCGTGGCGATGGCCCTTTTTTTCACTGGGCGTATCTCAGTTATTCCATACAAATACAAGCGTTACAGCGTCATAGCAGCTGCCTCTTCTTGTTTTATTCTTTTTTTTCTTTCGTAAGAGCTTTAAGGCACTTGCAACACAATAAGGTCATCTAAGTGCCGAAGATTAGAGGTGTTGTAACAAGGGAATAACAAACACAAAAAGAAGGAGGGGAGATAAAGACGATAGATGTTTGATAGGAAAGAAGGAGCAAGCCACACCAGAGCACCCGTCAACCGCCCACAGCTGCCTCTTTAGAAAACCCCTGTATGGCGAAAAGGATATTATTATAATGTAACAAAATCAACGACAGAATACAAAGCTGTAAGAGCTGTGGTGATCAGAGGTATGATCGAACCTTTACGACTTTCAAAATTTTGGTACATGATACACACACGCAATCACAATCTCTCTCGGACACAACACGCGCACACACACACACACACACACACACACACACACACACACACATACACGCACATGCATACATACAAACACACACACACACACA